GGAGTGAGCGAACGGCTGTGTGGTGTTTAGTAGCTGCCTGGGTTAAACCACAACACTTCACAGCAGCAGTCGTCAGGCACATAACTTAGAAGCATGGTCATTGAAGACTTCTATAGTCAATGGCAATTCCGTCCACTGTGAACCTTTCTCTGCAGGGGCCTTTTGGTCTCCCCATAGTCCAAAAGTAAGTCTCAAGTTAACTGGGCCCTAATTTTTCTCCGGGCCTTTCTTAGGGCACCGAATTTACAGCTAACTTGCTTGAAATTGGTTTGTCTTCCCTTCTAGTTTGTGAAAATCAGTAACGGTCTTGTTGGTACAAGGGTGCTGAAGCATGTGAATGTACTTAATTTATGTTGGTCTTTTGACTGTGGAACATATATTCGTCAGAGGAGCTGTGTGACTACAGTGATGGCAACTGGTATTTAATACCCAGTACTAGTAAATCACAGCAGATAAAACAAATCTGATGTATTACTGCAGCTCAGGAGTGACACTTGACCGTTGTACTATTGTTCTGACACTGAAGTTAGTAATGCAGTTTTGTGCCTTAAAGCAGTCCTGTTCTCCTAAGCAGATCATAACAATTAATTCCTGTTTGGCAAAGAATCAATAAAAACAAGAGAACTTTTAGAAAATTATTTTATACTATAAATCTGCACAACCAAAGTGTAAGTGCTGACACAGGTGTGGTCAGCAAATCCAGCTTTTATCAATGTTATATGAGGTCCATGGAGGAGCTAGCTGGCCTCTCACGTTCACAGTCTCACAGTTGTTCACACGCAATAAAACGTGACTGTGGCTGTGCCTGATGTAGACTGGCACAATCTGCATCATCTGTGCTACCTTTTCAAAGGCCAAGAGCCAGACCTAGAAATGGAAATCGGCACCTTCTTGTTAGGTATCAGAGAAGCTCCTTGGAGTGCCTGACCTTAAGAAGAGACTTTCAAGATCCGCATTCAGACCAGTCTGGACGACCTCCAATGGGTGGGGTGAGAAAAGCCTCTCCTGCTCCTGAGGCTGCTCGGTTGTGCAGCAAGATCCCTATGTCAGCAGTACAGCCTGAGGGCACGGGAGTCTGCAGCTCAGGTAACAAAGCCAGTACTGACTCTCCGCCCTTTCTCCCTTTCCCTGTTGTATTCTGTATTACATTAGCATTGATAAGTTGCCAGACTAAACAGAGAGGTGCCCAGCGAGTATAAGTATCTGCATTGTTAATGGCCTCTGAAGAGCTGGTTTTTTTAATTGCCGTTTGGAATTTGAGGTACCTGAACTCTGCCCAGCCCCAGGATCCCAACAAATGTCCCTCATAATATTCCACAGCCTGGAACTGTAGTCTCAAAATGCCACACGTAGGAAATACCTCAGATAGATACCCTACAACCATGCTGCAAGGTCATCCAGATCATGTATTTGAAGTCAAAGTGGTATGTTGCTGGTTTTAACTGTGAGATGCCATGGGTATCTATCATGTCACTCCGTAATACCAGATGCATTCTATGCCTTACACCCATGCAATGTGCCCATCACAAAGCACTTCAAACACCTGTTGGGGATTTTGCATGTAATTTGTGCTTTGTTCTTTTATAACTAGTATGCATACAATATTTGAAGAAAACAAATACTTACTACTTGATCCTTCACACAAAAAAGACTGGCACTGTAAGTATATAATATTTTTGTATTCATACTGGGTGCTGTTTCTCATTTACCAAGTTTTCACAGTATGGACTGAAGGGAAACTTCTCCTTTAAATAGCTTAAAATGAGAGGAATCAAGGTTGTATGTGTCATGGGCCTAAATACATTCTGACTAATTGAATCAGACTATTTTAGGTATAATTCAGAATTCACATGTATACTTCCAGGGTTTTTAAGAAAGCTTGATCAGCATTTTCAAGTAAAGAATGTTTTATCTGGTATATTGAAACTTTATTCTAGCTGTGGAATAAGAATACTGGTAGGAGGTGTTGAGAGATTTGGAGGGCTGTGAAATGGTGTAAGTTTTAATAGGCTACAGTGAAACCAGAACTTGCTCAATTTAAAACACATATAACATTATAACTGTGAAACCAATTCTGCATGAGCCTTGCTTGATCTTTGCCTCATGGAGACATCCTTGAGATGTATTCTGTTTAGCACATCAGCTCAGAATTTTGACAGCAGTTCACATTCAGTGCTTGCAACACCATCAACTGAAAGAATTTCCTAGGGAGCACTCTGAATCCCATCTCCCCTCTCCAGAAGTGTTGCTTCTAACACTGGTGCTCGACTGACTTGCAGTAAAAGAATATGAGCAGCTGTGAAGACTCCCTTTCCCTGAAAGGTGAGATGGGAAAACCCCAGTCACCCCCACCATACACTGATTTCCTCCAAAGTGGGCAGCACTGATGAATACCCCCACGCACAGATACCTCCCACTTGATCATTTGACCGTAATTTGGAAATACCTGCATGCCTTTCGTTGTAGGCAGACACTAGCAAATGCCATTTCAGAAGAATGTGGGCCACTGACACTTGCTGGTCCTTCAGGTAGGAGTTAGTCAAACAGGGCAGGACTATGACTTCAACAGGACAATTAGAGAGTAAATTCATCCCCATGTGTACACAATCTGTCCGTCCATCCCTAAAGGTTTTAGGCAGAATATGAGTTGGCTCTGGGATTTCAATTGCAGGATAGGAATAAACTTCTCACATTACTGAATAGCATATAACACATGGCATACTAAACGTGTTCAAGTGCCTTCTGAGGGTAGGTATCTAGGCAGCTTACGCTATTGAGGGTTTGTAATCACAGGAAGAGAGGACTTCTTAAATTTTCTGTAATTTCTTTTTTCTTTAAAACAAGCATAGGGAATCACATGCAAAGAATGACATACAGTGCAAGACTAGGACTGCACAGTTGACCACTTAGAAGGCAGGATATGCACAAGGTGGGATACAAAACTCGCCTGATCATGCATAAAGTTTATGATACAAACTTCATCACTGCAATCTCAAGTTTTTTAGCTGCAAATATATCTGAACTTCACCTCCCAGATAATACAACGTAACAAGGGGAATAGTAGATCATCTACTAAAAGGTAAAACGTTAAGTAACAATTGTATGGCGTTTTGAAAGATGTACAATACAGTTCAAAAAGCTTTGGAGCTCAAGGCAAGAATAATTAGAAATATTCATTGCATGCATGATGAGGAAAGCCAGACTAGATCATCATAATCATCTCTTTTGACTATAAAATATATGAATCTGCCAGAAATGAAATAGTCCCTATAAAACCATAATGTTCTCCAAAAGGTTTTGCCTGTAACATAAAATACCTTTAGTCTTTCTTCTCAGCAAATGCATTCATAAATGTATTATAAAAAAAAAAGTTCTGCTCCCATTTTGAGCTATAAAGCCTTGCAAATAAACAAAAAATAATACTTAAATTCACAGAGTGATTTCCTTAAAGTGGATGAAGCAAGCAAATAATTTTAAGTAAAGCAGTTTTAATAATATTATTTCAGGCTACTTGTATTACACAGAATACTGTCCTGTCTTTGATACAGACATATGCTAACGTGTACTTATTGGCATCAGTTTAAATAGGAATAAGTCAGGAATAAGGCTACTATGGTATGCCATCTCCATAAGTACTTCTCCAAGATGGCTGTAGTGGCAGTTATTCCAATTATAGTTCTGTTTTCTAGTGCATTTGAGCTACAATTCTGCATATCGCCATTACAGTTTTGAAATACAGAAGAGATTACAAGAGATTGCACTAACAGTCTGACAAAAGCCACTGAAATTCAGAGTTAAGAATGCTGGAAGTTTCATCCACAGGAGAAAAGATAGGAGTTAGTGAATTCCGTTTCCCAGTATGCATTCAAATCAAAGTGATTTAAACATGGAATGTTTTATGGGGTTGGTTGGCTGGTTGTCTTTTACTGTTGCATACTTTACTAGGGTTACCAGCTGACCTGTGACCATGCTATTTAAAAATAACTGAATACTTAAATAGGTGAGGACAGATGGAGAAAACATACTAAAAATGCTTATGTTTGTCTAATATGAACCTATTGTGTCATTTAATGAATTTCAAAAAGAACCCAAAGCGACTTACTATCTTGAGGGAAACAGGGTTATTCTTATCTTGTGCACAAAAGAAATGAATTGGTCTGACTGCAATGAAGATAAAAGTGATTTTCTATCAGTGTGTTTTTAATGAATATCGTATACAGCACAGATGTATAAATCAGAGCACAACTTCAGCTTCATGCTCTTCACTTCATTTTACTTACCATCAGTTCCTATTTCACTTTTAAGGTCAGTACAAGACTGGAAAAGACACAAGAAAAGACTGAGTATTGAAGAATACTTCTTAAATCATTAGTTGTTTGTCATTTTAATGGTGTTAGACTTTAGCAAATTTATGAGGCATAAACTAGTTAGCTTTACAAATGTCCAAATATTGTTAGTCTTAGAAGACTGCTCATTCGAAGCCTGTGCTCTCCACTCAATTTACAAACTGCCCCTGTTTCCTCAGGCTGATGATGTAACTGCCTTATTTGCAGTGTCTTGGTCAGGATACAAATACAGTGGGCTCTGCGATGAATTTGCTCTCGGAGGTGGTTGTGTACTAGTCAGTCTTTCAGAATTTCCTGGAGAATTCTCCCTCCACCTTGGACTTGCCTGCTCCTGAGACACTTCCCACACAGATGGGCATGGGGAGGTAAAATTCATGGTGGATCGTGAGAGGTAGTTCTCCTGAAGACCTTCTTCTTGGAGGCACCTGTTTGAAAGCACTTCTTTTTCTTTGGAGTTTCGCCATTTCATCCTTCGATTCTGAAACCAAATTTTCACCTGTTTGCAAGTTAATGAGAGTTTATTATCATTCTTTTCTTTAAACATCTTTGCCCTAACAAGGTTTTTTTTCCCTTCCATCCCCTTAGTTTCATGTTCCTTCCTTATTCATTGTTATAGTAGATCCAGTGAAGCTGACTGATCGACATTATCTGAGGATTTTCCCATCACTATTTACTACAGCTGGGCCAAATACTCTCCTTGACTTTCACCACCTCAAACAGGTGATTACTTAGCTTAGACTGGAAAAAGGACAGCCCAGTGGCTAGGGATAGAGCAATTTCCTATAGCAACATCCTTCTAGACAGAAAAGGATTCTCAGAATAAATTAGCATCGTCATTAACAAAACTAAGTGGTATTACTGGTGATGTGAAGCTTTCTATTTAAAAGAGGCTCTGAGAACTATGACTGTCCCATTCACAAGCATAGCTAAAAACAGCTTGGCCATATGGCTTCAAAATGTGTGTTATGACATATGACACAGTAGTGAGGATTTAAAGACATTTTGTCTGCCTGGCTACAGTTTTCCAGGATTTGCCTAGAACCCATGTGCTTTTGAGATAAAATCCATTTTTTAAAAACTTCAAGTTGCAAAGCTTGATCACGAACATTCAAAGGCATTTATGAAATGCTGGGAAAAGCTTGGGGAAAGATATATCTAGGAACTGGTTTTACATAAAGAGAAGAAATGGGGGGGGCGGGAATCAATCCAATTATTCAGATTGTGTTCTATTTTCCCTTAAATATTTGCATTTAGTTCTAGTATTCAGATAATTGACATGAAGACAAAGGGGCTATGCTTTCAAAGGTTTGAGAATCATTGCCTTAGATGGCAGGTACTGTTCCTCCACCACAACCGGTCAGAAAATTGAAGAAGTAGCGTTCACCACAACTGCTCTTCCTTTCATGAGGAAAAAAAAATAAAAAAGACATAGATATCATCTGATCTATCATTATCATTAAATTATTTTCCTGTAGTGGTAGTTGTTATCTATGTGTCATTCCATTATTTTTCACTCCCCCGGGCTCTCTTGAATATCAAGAACACAGAAGAAAAACTCAAGGAAATAATTGTAATATTAGGAATTTGACTACATATTGGGAAATTTTTAGGCAGCGCACTGGTGAGTGCAATTGCACATTTTCATTGAAATAGTTTACCCTGCAGAGATTACAGCTCTTTTCATCACACTGAGAAGCAACACACTGTGCTGCTTTTTTTGTTTATAGTTGCAGTGCTTGCGATGGAGTCAGAGTCATTCAGGTTGCAAGGAACCACTACAGACCACAAGATCTAACCTCCTGCGCAAAGTGGAGCCAACTGTGAAGTTGGATCAAATTGTTGAGGGTCTTGTCAAGTTCTGAAAATCTCCAAGATGAAGATGATGAGAGCTCCCATCGCCATTCCCAGGCTTTTCTGCCCCCCAGACAGCTTCTGCCATACGTATCTTTAGCACTTCCACTCCTGCTGCATGCAAAGAAATAAAATTGTACTGTCCCTCTCTTGCTCTCTTTCAGCTGTACTCCAGAGATCTGTGCCTACTCCAGCACCTTCAGAATCCCACCTGCCAGTGGCTACCATGTCCATTTTCTGCTGTTACATGCCCTCACAAACATTCTTTCCAGTTCCTTTCAGGTTTTGTGCTCTTTTTATCTGCAGCTAGGTCAGGGTCGAGATTCCAGACTGGGCTACTGCCACTCGGCACCACCATTAACATACTTGCTCAGTTAGAACAGCTCACTGGAGGTATTAGACCCTCAGCTAAACTCTGAAGTCCTGCAGTAGGCCAACTCGGACTCATGTGAAAAATCCCACAAAATGTGAATTGGTAAGTAAAGTGGGAGCATTTTAGAAGGTCACCGTGCAAAATTTTTCCTTCTAGAGTTTCTCTCAGCTCCGAGAATTTCTTTCCTTGTGCAGCTAAGTTTGTTCCTGTAGGGATGGTTGCCTGTCTCTTGGGGCAGAATGGTTTCAGAGCAGTGCTGTTGATTAAATTGTCACTAGCTGTTCATCTGTGAGTGCAAAGGGTGCTCAGAGGAACGCAGGAGGGCTCTATGCTCTGCTGCTTTCTGCCTGGATCACTGCCTATCAGGCAGTGGGATGGAGCATAGTTCCCTACCCCAAAGCTCCTGAGTGGGTTCTGTCAGACAGCAAAATGGGAGTTGGAAATGAAATTCAGAGGTCATGTTTCTCCCACTTTGTGTGAAAATGGAGAGATCAACTTTTGAATGTACACCTTCAGGAAATAAACTAGAAACCTGTTCAAGTATTCCTTGGTTAAAACTGCCATTGATTTACTGAGGTCTTTGCTCAGTGAAGGAGCTCAGGGCTGCCCCTGTGCTGTTCAATTTTCCTCCTTCAAAGGAGGAAGGATTTTTCCTCAGAAAGACAGAAAGTCACAGATGTTCTGTTATTCCTTACCTGAGACTCCTTTAGACCCAGGTTAATCGCCAGTTTCTTCCTGTCTGTTTTACTGATATACTTCTGCTTCTGAAACATTTTCTCCAAAGCTTTCCTCTGGTCTTCGGAAAAGACAGCTCTTCTTAATATACCTCTCCGGGCTTTGGAGTTAGACTCCTGGGTCAGAAGAGGCAGGACACTTTCCTCTCCTAGTGGAAATGGATGAGAGTTTCACATAATATCAAACACATCAGAGAAATACTAAGTGCTGTTCATTATAATGCTAGCAGACTACTGTCCCACTTTTGATTTGTTGGTGTTATAAGTGTGTCGTAATGCTTCAGTCATGTTCATTAAGGACTAAATCCTCACTTGGATCTAGAGGTGTTGTCAGTGGTCAAAAGTCTCCCCTTGACATGGTAAAAAGTAAATCAGATGAGTTCATAGAGGAACATTAACACAGGGCCCATGCTACTGTAAAATTCAAATATAGTCAGGGAGAAACTTCCACTTTCCTTTGCACGTTATCATCACTGAGTAAACTGCAATAAGTTTTCCTAGGAGTTTATTTTCTCCTTGTGTGAAATGTAGAACCAGATAAAAGTGGTCTGCAATACTGATTCAAAGAAACTAAATAGGCTTTTTTTCGTTTTGTTTACTAACGAAAGGCTTTCAGAGTGAACTATTTCTCAGAAAATCCTTGGCCATTCACTTACTCATTCTGGAAACCGCAGCAATTTCTTTATTACAGGATTTGGGGAGTACTTGAACTTACTCCTTTCAGCCTGGTTTCTAATCCTTTGACAGCTCATGGCAATTCCTGGGAGGGCAGTTTTCAATGAATCCAATCACATCCCCTTGATCCATGCCTAGAGGGAACCCTACCCTGGAAAACAGCCTCAAAGTTGGGGGAAAGAGCTGCAGTGGAGAAGTAGAAGTGTTTGCATTGTCCCTTCATTGGCCTCACAAAGAGCACAGAAAACCCAAATCCAGATAAATCTCTCACCTTCCTCACACCCAATAAAGCCTAAAGCTGTAGAGCTTTCCCATGCTCCCTCTCCCCTAGAAGGATGTGGTGTATGGGGAGCAGTCCCTGGTGAGGCTTGGTACGCCTCCAGCACTCCCGGCTTCCCCAGATGCTCGCCCAGGGAGCAGTACCAGAGGTCAGTTAATAGGGCCTGTCACAAAGCATTGGATGTGGCAATTGCATGGGGCAGTTGCAAGCAGGCCAGGAAAGAGCTGCCCTTTGATTCAGAAACCTGCGCCATGGCTATATAGCCACTGACACCTACGACCTTCTGTGAAAGGGCAGCCACGAAGATAGCTTTGGTGCGTACTGCGTGCAAGTTAGACTCTACAGGTACAAGCTGTCTTCCTGTTGTCCACCTTCCCACGTACATGGACCAAGATTGCCATCCCAGTTTATAGTTACAGCAGCTGCAAAGGTGTGCTGCTGTTTGATTTCTGTCAAGGATCATTTTCATATCGAAGCCAATGGCAAAATTCCCACGTAAAGCAGATTTTCTAAAAGATTGCACATTCTTTCATCAAAAAGTCTATCTATTCTAGTCAGCTGTAGCGGGGGGTAAATATATTTGTTCAATAGAAACAATGCTCTTGAAAATACTAATTAAATTCAGATGCAGCTTTCACAAACTGTTCCTTGGGGCTACACCACATTTCAACTTCTGTATATTATACATATATACACATGGGTATGTGTATCTTTAAACACCCACAGAGAAACAAACAAACATATACTGAGGATATTGTAGAACTGTGTATGTATAATGATGAGAAACTAAAGTGTATATGTGTATGTCTTGCAAAGTTGACTAAATATTTTCGTGGTGCATGTGTGACTGGTTTGATATTACATACATTACCGCGTATCCTGCCTCCACCTGTGACCAGCAGAGGAAGAATATCAGAAGCTGAGCAAGTGTACAATGATCCTTCCCTAAAATACACTGCCACTGTCAAACATTACTGATTTAGGGACCATTGCATTCTGCTAGACATGCCTTTCTTAAATTTTTCTACACTTTAAGAACCCATCTTTGTATTTGTCCCCATAACAGCCTGTGGCAAAAAATAATTATTATGATTTAAAATGTTACAGTATAAATAAGTCTAAATTTATACAGATGTATTTCAATTTTCAAAATTATATCTGAGACCAGATACAAAAATCATAACCTACTGGTTACTATCCTGATATTTATGACACAGTGAGACACAGTCAGACTCCATCCAAACCAAAATAAACTATCTGCAGAACAAAAGTCAAAATGCCACAATGGAGGTTTCTGCGGAGGGCAAGCCGGGTTCGTATTTCTCTGAGGAGTGCATAGCCCCCTCACAACCCCCACCCCGAGCTCCCATCCTGCCCACGAAGCTGAGGGCAAACACTGGCCCTTCTTCCCCAAGCATGTTTTCTCTCCTTCTTGCTCAAATTTGATGGATTTAGGTACCTTTATCCAGGTAGCCTCTGAGCAGTTTCTGATGACTCATCAGCCATTCTCAAGTTTACTGGAAGGTATAGTCTGACAGCAGAAGAGCTGGTACCTTCTCTCATCCCCACCACAGGACGAGAGACACCAGCGAGGGAAGAGGCGTAACAGGGCTGGTGCTTGCCTCCTGGCCTCCATTCCACAATGGAGTTGTCAGCCAAGGACAGAGGATGCCAGATTATGTGACCCCTTAAAATTTATCTTGCCTGGCTGGTTGTTAACAGTCAATCAGCAAAGAAACAACCTCTTGCCGGAGCCCCAAGGCACCAACTAATTGCCGTACAGGCAGTATGTAGGGTACAGCTTACCACCTGTATTAGACTAACTTAATAATGAAGAATCTACACACTCTAAGGCACACTATGTGACTGATTTTAAAAGATTAACGAAACGACATTTAATGATGAGCAGAATGCTCACAAGCATTAGCAAACAGCCACTGGGTTAAAAAATGTGAAACTCATGTTTGGGATAATGAATACTCACCCCCAATTGACTAGCCTAGAGAATTTTTTTAAGAATACCCCATATTCCAAAATGCATTCTGACTGCTTACACAAAAACTAAATTTCAGTTTGTGGATTAAAGGATTTTTCAGTACGGCGGGATAGGCAGTCATTCATACATTTCAACAATTCCATCAAAATGAAGTAAGTCAGTTTGCAGCCTGTCACTCTGAACGTGCATCAAAAAGGTTTAGTGTTCTGCTGACATAAATGTGAATCTGTTACCAAGTATTTCCTATGTTGCTGGTTTGATTTTTGTTTTGCTTCGTTTTTTTTTAAGTCTTTCCTTTGTATCCTAATATATAGTGATAAATGTCCTCTTAATCTGTGGAACAATCTTCATTTGCCTTCATGGCAGAGACCACCTTGAAGGAGCAAGTAAAAGCTTTAGTCATGGTTTCCATTTTTTCATTTGAATTCAATACATTCTAGTTAAATGGACAATTAATAGGTCACTTCCAAAATAGTAGTGTATCAGTCCTGGTTAATAAACAATCCCCACAGTTGATAATGGGCCTATGTATTCAGCAAGTCCCTGTATACACTCAGCTCATCCACTAAATCCCTTTTCAGGTAGACAGGGTTATATGGGAAGATGAGCTAGAATGAGTCTATAAAAGTCAGTTTCATTCACTGCTTTATTTTTCAGTCAAGTGCTTTAAATGGTGTCCAGAAAATCTCTTGGAATGTGAGACAGGAGAAAAGACTGGCACATAGAGTATTGCTTTATGGCCATACAAAAGGGCAACTGACCCTTGCCCAGGCCTTTTCAATGTGAAATGGTTCCTAAAGTTCATCTGCACAGTGAAAAATTGTGGTGAGGTCGCGTGTGGATGAGTAAAGTGAAAGTGGTGATTGGTCATGGTGCTGTCAGCCATTGTGGGAGAGCTGGGGCCATGTAAAACGCTCTGTGGGAAAGTGTCAGCCCCCTAAAGAGGTGCTCAGAAACTTGCAGCTCATTAAACTGCCAGCATTTGCTGCCTCACTTGTCAAGAATCATTCAACTTAGCAACTGCCCTTCTGAAACATTCATAAAACGCATGCACATAGTCAGGAAGGGTTTGAATGCAACTCTGATAAAAAAGTATATGCTAGAGCACACATAAGCTCCAATTTTCATTTGGATTTGCAAGGCGATTTGTACTTTTTCTCCGTTTTGAAGGACTGGGAAATGCCTCTTCTGTTTGTATTCCTGAGCCATAAACATGTAAAAACATGAATATCCATTCTTACACTATGGCACGCAAACTTCACAATCAAGGTTAAATTTAGATTTGGATTAAATGGAAGTGTGTTCCAGCTCTTAATCCTGAACGTATAGTGTATACTGGCCAAAATTCTCTTCAACTTACTTCTTCAATTTTTTACATTATAATGAAAAAAGAAAAACAAATTAAACGTGCATGCATTTGACTGTTACAAAAAGAATGACTGTTTTATTTAAATAATGCTAGGGCTTCCTGAATCATAATTTATCCCTAACAGACATTAAAATGCAGCATCCATTTTAAGATCTTTCAGCTCTTTTCTTATTTGCAAATGTTTATTGACACAGATTTTTAAAAGAGTTACTGATTTTAAAGAATCTTTTCTAGCAAACTGAAAACAAGGAGCTTTCCTGGGTTAGCTCTGTCTGGGTGTCTCAATGCCATTAGAAACCTCTCACAATTGCTCAGTGTACTTAAGTTTGATAAATCTTTGGAAACCCTCTGAATAGGATTGCTGTGATTTTACTAAGGAATTAGCTGCTGCCATTGCATCACCAATTAGTTTTCCAGAACACATTAAATCCTGCTGCTTTGGTTTACAGAATAACTCAAGCATTACTGATGAAGCATAAAAACTTACTTGGAAAAGCAGTGGGGGATGCAGGGTGCTGACAGGACCCACCGCAGCATGCTGAGTAGAATGGCGGGGCTCGGAGGAAAAAGTGTTTGGAAAGAGCTGCAAAGAAAGCATAGATCTAATTGATTATCCATTGAGCTTAGGTGATATTCATAACAACAGTCCTCCAAAAAGTCAGTGTGTAAAGTCCTGCCTCACAAGTTCTTTTTCCTTTTTTCAAGATGGTGATATTTTTAAGGCAAACAATGATAAACCAAGTAATTGCTCTTTAATTTAGCAAGGTTATTTTACATGTGTAGCTTGAATATAATATGCAAAACTCTCAATATATTTATCATAAGAATTAAACTCTGCAGATTTGAAATTTACTTCTGTAATTGCTATAATTATGGGGTTTATCCCTAAATATTGGGATTGAACATGTTGTTTAAATAATATATTGTCAAAATAATAAGTATAATGCATCTGAAGAAGTTATTTTAAATAACTCTAGTAAGCATGATATCCTAGAAAAACAGAATCTAAAAGTGAATCCTGTCTCTTCTGCTTGTAGTCCAATGCTGTTATTAGTACTCAAACCAATACGGACTTCAATAAATAAGAAACCTTTATGAATAAAGTCTATAAAATGCAATGAGATGATCCAGCTGAACTCTACAGGCACAAACTACAGGGCCTGATTTTGCTATCCTGATGGTAAACTTGTTCTTGCTAGGAAAGTGCTCTAAATTTAAATAAACCACTTGCTGAAGAAGGCTCTGCTTAATACAGTAAAAAATTGCAAAATCATCCCCCAGAATTAGGTAATAGTTGGTAAAATTTCTGCAGAATTTTTTGAACCAATGCATCAAAAGTCTCTATTATGTCTAAAAAGTGCTTCCAAATCTTAGAAAGGTCTTCATTATCTAATAATCCCTTAATTTTTTTTTTTCTATAAAGCTCATGGGCTTTTCCAGTAATCTTAATTACCTTTTAATTTCTGCTCATACTAGTCAACTATGAAACTTGGAATATTTTTTTCTTTTGAAAATAGATAGATCATGCTTGCTAGAACTGTACACTTGTAAAATGTGATCAGTATCAAAACATTTATGTCACTTTCCTGTTTTGGTTTAAGAAGATAAACAGCTCTATACCCTGTACTGTAGTTTGTACAAATCTCTAGAAAGAACCTGATTAATTAGGGGGGAAAAAAAGTAACTGCACACTTAGATAAAAAAAATTAAGAAATCAATAATCAGGAAGAAAGATAGAGAAATAGATAAATGTATCTAAGCCATGTTGTTAATTTTTAAAGGTTTTTCAACTGGAATTAAAAACAAAGATCACTCAAAAATAGGTTCCCGAGTACATTTTAGGGCATCATAATAAGTTTTCTGACCGTCAAATCTGCTGATCTTCCAAAGCAATAAACTACTGCTGTAGAAGCCTAACTCTAAACATTTTTAAAATATTTACCTCTATTTTTTTTTCTGAATTCATACAAGCTTAGGTGAAAATTTCTTCAACTGGAATTACAAATTGATAAGCTTTTTATTACTACAGCTTTTCATCAACACTTTACTGTTTCTAATGAAATATAAATATACTCCAAGAGGAACTAATTGCCTGTTTTGAGGTGTATGCTTGCCAAACATTTACAAAAAGGAATTATTTACATCAGGCATTAGTACTGTAAAGCTGCTCTTTCACCCGAGACATCAAATGTAGAACTGTGTCCTAAGGAGCTTAAGAGTCAAGAACGTGCAGGCAAATTTTACCTATCTTACATATCCAAGGGGCTTCAACACAACTGGTGGGGTGTATAAGTTGGAAAGGATTTGACTGTAACTGAAGAACAGGAGATGGAGAAGGAAAACACCTGCCAGATAATCTCGCCAGATAATCTCAGCCATCCTCCTGAACATGTGAGCTTGTTCTTGACAATACGTTTTATCTGCCGCTAACGTTTTATCTACTGCCGTTTCCAAACTCGCAGGTGAAGAGCTCTTTCTCCCTTCCCTGGGAGCCACATTCCTCATGTGCAAAGGTAAAACTTTCCACTTCTAAAAATACAACTTAGTATACAGAAGGTACTACACTCCATTTCTGTGCTTCCTTTTCACACGTCTCAAATATTCCTTGGCTGCCATAATGCCCTATTCCCTTTAATCATTGCTCCAGCACCTTATTCATGCCATACAATTTTTGTCAGACATGTTGGCCTGTCCTTGATATTCCCTGTTATGGTTTCTTAACTCTCTCCAGTTCCTTGCTCTTTTTTGATAATGTGGATGCTCATAATGATATGTGATACAGCCAGGAGATATCTGGATAAATCAGAATTGAGTAAGCTATTGCTTCAGATAGATAGCATGCTCCTGCAAATAAAGATAGAGGAGTAGGAAAGCACAGATTTTCTCCATTCACTAAATCTCTCAACAAGCAAGCTGCAAGCATAAAGGTCAGGAGATGGATCAGGGTCAAAACTTGAGACATTTTGCTTAAGGAAACCCCAAACAAGCCACATATTTCCATGGATGTTGCTGGCAATGATTTAATGCACTAGCACAGCACCATGATGCAAACAGTAGTGATCTTGGCACTAATTCTGCTCAAGTTGATGGAAATCATGCTTCTGGCTTTCTTGGGCATTTTACTTAATTCCCTCAACCAACTGCTGTCTTTTCTGCCTGCATGGTGCATATCCCTTTAAGGCAGAACATTTGCTTAAGGAATAAGATGCAGGTGATATCCTCATATAACTCTGAACCAAGTGGTTTCTGAGACCATTTCTCAAGACTGATTTATTCTAGATCCTGTGGAATAAACAATGGCATTATGTCTCCCTAAACCTAAATGCATATGTCTAGTTTATAAACTTCTTTAATGTGCTCCAACTACACACTGAGGCACAAGTGAATTCTACATTAGGTGTAACAAACTACATCCTCAGGTCACGTCTACTGAAGCCGTTGCACTCAAACCAATGTGTAGCAGTTACACAGAGTTACATCAGTAAAAACTCTGGCGTAATACAGGGATACTCAACTCTACCTTAGGAGCCCTATGTAAAGTAAAATGTTAATGTTTCAACCTAACACATACAAGTATATTTTTTATCTTTGATAGAAGGAGCAGAAAATATTCATTGCATTAAATGGCTTCCATTGTCTGCGTGAAACTGCATTAACAGAATGAAAATTGTTCAGAGAAAAATTATATATTTAACATATATGTATTTCACAATTATATTCAGACTTATACTGTGATCATACCTGTAGGAATGACACGATACCTATCAGTGCTGAGGACAACGAACAGAAAGCATTGCCTATGCTTTTATTTTCTGGTCACATATATCATGGCCACTCTACCAATATTTGTTGGTCAAGCAATCTGAAGCAAACACTGTTTGCTGTTCACATAAGGCTCAAAATTGCTGCAGTGTCAGAATATTAGTTCTGTATTTATTGGCCAGAATGAAGTACACTGTAACCAAAGAGCAGCTGTTGCTTCCAGCCATGTGGAGTACACATTAACCATGGGCCAAATCCTAATAATTCGTATTCAAGATACCTAATTCTTTTTTCTGCTTAGCATTCCCATTTCATAAAAACAGAGACTGTATGGAACTAAGCATTTCACAAGAGTGAGATTTACAGGTTTAGCTTCACAGACGCATGAAAATGAAGTATCAGAATAGAGTATAAGCGCCTTTTGGCACTCCAAAAACCGTACTATATGCTTCAAAAGAAAATTTATCGGGTCATAAATATAAAAGGATGAAAAATCTAAAATGAAATCAATAATTTATTTCTATTTTTTCGCAAAAGATAAATTCTTTTGACACTGTTGCCACATGCAAAATTTTAGTAATAATGCTTATTTACATTCAGCTTTGTGAATGCAAAGCATTTTACAAACAGCCAATAAATGACACTAAACATGCAGATGGACCTCAAGCTCATCCAGTGCTAAAACTCAAGAGATTAGTTCAGATATTGTATTTTAAAATATACTGCCAGCTCTGATCTAAATTCAAAAGCCCTCCCATGCTAAAAAGTCATGCCAACAATGGGACTAGAAGTTTTCCCTCTCACTATCCACCATTTTGAGAGTAAGGTTCCTAAGTACAATTCAGTTCAAATGGATATGTAATTTAAAAATGGTATATTATTCAAGACATCGTTTGCTTTTCCTAATCCTACTGTTGTGAAATAACTCAGGAAATAGTGTAGGCCATTAACCAGCAGGAAAGGGGCAAAGGAAAAATGGCTATTGAGGAAAAGCAAACCGATGGTAAACTTCTGGTATTACCCATACAGGGCTCCTTCACTGCACATGCTGTTAGCTTGTTAGGGTTTTTTACAGCTAACTGATAAAAACGTGGTATAATCCTGTGAAGGGAGCTGAAATACCTCCAAAGAGTGATTGAGAAAGTTGCCTAGAGCCAGCTAACAAGAAACAGTAAGCACAGGAACAGACAAACCTCAAGCTGCATAAACACAGACCTTAAATTCTCCAAGTATTGCTAGGTCCACATGAACTGCTTTCCACAGTGATGCCCGGGCTCCAGCCCTGGCAGGCAAATTCAAAATATTATCACTAAAATGATCCCAATTCATCTGAGAAACTTGGATGCTTTGTGCCCATGAAGTGGGCACAAGTAAACTGCAATTTCCTACCTATGTCCATTCTTGGCAATGATTAGAGCAGGCTTTTGCAAAGCTGCAGGAAAGTTTCATGCCATGAAGAGCTCTCTGCAAATAGTCCAGCAGCAGCTCTGGTTAGTGGTCCAGCTGAGCCACACAGCAGCATTTCTGCTCCTGAACCACAAGCCCTGGGCCTTGCAATGATCCATGGCTTTGTCCCCGGCAGTTACTGTTTAGAGTGCAATGCTCCAGCAGCGGTTGTGCACCCCCAAAGCATTTCAGCTAGCTGAAGGGGAGCCCCTGGCCATGCGAAGGAAGCAATAGCCGCTGCCATATCCTACCAAAGGCAGTCACCACCACATGGACCTGGCAAAACTTACTGCAAGAGCTTGTGGTACAGCATCCCTCGGAGCTGGCTTTCCTGCACTCCCAAAGTCACTATCTATTTGCTTCCCATTCATT